ACTTTTCCATCGGGAATGATAGTGCCCTTTGTATTTGCCCTCTAAAATCGGCGAAGATTGCGGTTCATTGACATCGGCTTGATGTGAGAAATAGCTCGCATTTTTCCTCAAAATGACGCTTACAGTGAGCACTTCTTTTCGCGGAGCGAAATGGCTATTGATTTAATTCCTGTACGTTCATCTCGCTCGATTTCGTCGCTGCGGCAGCTTCCTGTCGACTTCGAAGCCATTGTACATAGCTTTCTGCAATGTAAAAAAAAAAACAGATACTTTCTTGGAAGCAGTGACGCTAGTCTTGCCGTTTATTCCTGCAATCGATTTTTCTGAACAAGAAAATAGGATTCGTAGATGCCAGTTGAGTGAAACGTGCTGTCGGCTACTCGCTTGATACCCAACAGCAACTATTGAATCTTTCCGGATTCCAGGGTTACCCCCTGTGCCTTCCCCGGCGGGGTTTAGAGAAAATTAATAGAATTTGGGGAAACCCCTTTCCTTATCATTTAGACGGGATTATTTTTTTATTCTGTATAGGGAGGGAAGAGGTGAAATACCAAGTCCGGGATCCGTCTTTCTTTCGGCCCCTCGAATCCCGATAAAGAGGAACAAAATTCCAAAGTTTTTTACCGGATCTGCATTCCCATATTTTTAACTTACGGTTTATTGTTTCTTTTTTCCGAAAACTGCGAATAATATACTGTACTAGAAATACCAGCGCTACCTTGAGTAATAAAATGCCTCCGAATGTTGTCTGAAATGTCTTCTTTTTAATCATGAAAACCGCTCCTGGGATTAAACAAAATTCGCGATTTGAATTTTTCTGCGTCAAGTCAGATAATTTATGATTATTTTTCATCCAGTATAAGGGGTTCTATTTCTTTTTGGTGATAATTCGCCGCTGTTTCGAGAAATTTTCGCATCAATGGTGTCCGGAATACTGTACGTTCTGACCAACCGAATACTGTACTCTCCGAGTTTGAGTGCACGCAGAAAATACAAATTTCGAAGTTCACGAGCAAACTTCGCCGTGACTATTGGTACAGTATTACTGTAGTTGAATACATTTTCAGCATTTCTCTACCCGAGTTCAATTAACGAAGATAGTAAGTGTCCGAGTTGAATTTCAAATACTGGGACCAAGTAAAGCTATACAGTAATTTTATTGTGGGACCACTTCGTGCTATGTAAAAAGAAAAGAGGTAAGAAATTCGACAAAAATGCGAAGCTTTTAGCCATAACGAGTATGCACGTTCTTTGGCGTAATATTCCACAATAAAAGATTCAGATGATCAGACTGAAGCTAGATGTCGCTCAAATACATTCTCCATGTGTCCGCTTCCGATGGGATGCACTGTACTCTGTAAGGGATGCACAGTACTCCGTATGGGATGCACTGTACTCTGTACAGGTACTGCATATTTGGGAATTACGATTCACAATATACTACATATACATTAGAAGAAATTGGTTCAATGCAAACATGATTGCACAGCATCGTCCGTAAAAAAAAAAAGCATTTTGCCAAGTTTGTGTGGCGCCGACACGGCCTTGTTTTATGATTTTCGCAATCGAAAACACCCACCTGTCTGCAGTAAACAACTCTTCAAGAACCATGAGATTGAGGACGTAAATCTACAGATTTCTTGCATAATGCTGCGCAGCGCATTTGCAAACCTCGAAAACTCCCTCCGCCCGCGGGCGAAGAGTAAAGGCGCGGTTGTCAGAGGGAATGGTGCCTCATGACATTTTCATACTGACAAACTAATTAGGTCACCGGAAATCTAGTGGGATGAGTTTCGGCGCGTTCGTCACGCATCTGTGACCCGTGATGAAGGAGTCCCAATCATTACGGTGCAACCCTATTTTGCGATTTGAAGCAAGCGACACGAAACCGTGGATTTCGAAAAGGGCCAAGCTAAAAAAAAAAAGCCCAAGTAATGAGTCTTCCTGTTAATTTGATGATTTATGTTTCATGATATTTTCTTCGCGCAATCGAAGTCCATCTATCAACTATAGAAACCATGGACTAGCTTCCCTCACGTTCAGCACATCTGACAATTTCACGCTTTTGAAAAGGAAGTTTCTATCATGTTGGATATTGAATAAATGTTCACCGGGATGATTTCAGAACCTGTATCACTGCAGCATCCAGGATTTCTTGGACCAATATGGAAACCCTTTCCAATACAATGTCCCATGGTTTCAGAAGTGCAGACAATAAAATCAGTGGCCAGATTTTTCAACTTTGAAAATGTACGCTGACCTGCTTGCTGAAGTTCAATAAATCGAAAATTACTCTCCAGCTGAACCTATAGATTATGCCCTGAAAGGGGAAGCAGAAATGTTCCAGAAAACTGCAATGGAGAAAATGGGCTACGAACCACGCATGGTTTATCATATATAATTACTCCAGAGAACCATCTCAGCAACGACCGCGTGGAGAACTGAGAAGAAAGAACTGGAGAAAATGGACATCGTGCGGTTTTGGAGAAACTGGGGATTTCCTGTAGAGTAGTAGACCCAGGTCAGAAGTTCAGTGAGTGATACGTATCACTGGTTTGATCTTCAAGCGTTATTTTACGACATTGAAAAAATACAAGGAAACTTTTCATTGTGCCTGAAATGGGACTGCCTAACCCTATGCCATCATATTCAAGTTTATTTTAAAATACTGTATTTCAGCTCAGAAATGAAGAATGCCTCAAGTAAAGTTCAACGATTATTCTGAAATTCGAAACTGACAAGATTTCACATCTTCAGAATCCGTACACATGTTGGATGTACTGAAGAATGTGTTTTGCATTAATGGTACACAATTTCATCTTTCGGTTGGTGGACACACTCATCTTCGCAACATTATCTATCTTGAAGCATAGAGGCGGTTATAGCTTTCGATTCCGAACGAGCTCGTGTCTCGCTCGGACATTCAGCTTAATCATGGTGGTGTCCGGAACTTCCTTCGATCGAGAAACTGACAGCTTGATGGACAACTGTGCGGGTCATTGTACAGCACGTATTCTCTTTTCGTTTTCCGCATTAACGAACCTTGATTGAAGCCTGAGATTTGAAAAGAAGAAAAAGTACAGTACAATATCCGCGTTACCGGGGTCTGTGAAAAGCAGCTTGCTTAGGCGTCAATTCCATCACGCTGCGAGGAAGCATGAATGACGCAGCGGTCGACGCCGGCCGAGGCGAGACTGGATATTTGTTTACGTCGACAGGAAGCTGGGCTCAGCCTGATCTTGAACAGCGGCGTGCTAGAAAACAGGCGATAATTCTGAAAAGAAGAGAGCCGGGGCCGAGGGGCGCTTGCATAAAGAAACGGACGCCCTGCTGTCATTAGCACTCCTCCCGTGTTTGAGAATTTGATGAGGCAAATGCCCGTCGCGCGGAGATGGAATGCTCTGATCATAGAACCTCGGCGATGGAATGCGAAAGGTGATTGACCAGCTACCGCGATCTTCAAGCGAGGGCAGCGGTCAAGAAGCGGTCATCAGATTCAATAGCCGCCAGACGCCATGAAGTTCTCCACGGCGACGCGGAATTGCAGTATTCTACCACACTCCTACAGTCTTGTTCTCTTTATATATGTAAGGATAAAAAAAAAATTTTTACGAAAAAATGGCCTGTCTCTTTTGATGCCAGTATTTACCCAAGTCCAGGCCGCGTGCGCATGTAGAACGCACCCAGATTTTAGACATTTCCGGGGAAAAGCTGCGTACGCCACAAAAAGAGAACTTTTTATTTTAGGAAAGTGCTGTCTATAAAAAAAAATTTAAATTATCGATGTAGTGTATATTGCATTCCAGGACGCAACACGTTGACCATTTTTGAGTTATCCCTACAATAGCCTTCGCCCTTAAGATCCATCCCTGCACGTTTCTTTTTTTCGTGAATATACCTACTGTCAGGGTGATACAAAGCCAATATCGTCCATATATGGACCGCAACCGAATTTTTTCCGAAGATTTTTCTGAAGAAAAAGTGAAATATACTCCCATGTTCGTGACTATGTAGTGCAAACAGTTCTACTTGCATCTCTGCAGAGAAAATATTAAGATTATAAATTTGCATGATGAAAACTGTCAGCATTCCAAGTTTCGTAAAACGGTATTATATCATCAGATTTATGAATCGAAAGACAACTTCACGACACGTTAACCGGTTGACGCAGTAAATCTTTTCATCCCAAAATTTTTGGTTTTTTTCTTTTGTTTGTTGAAATTTAGCTGTGGATATTCTATGAAAGCTGTCTCTTCTGGGTGACGCTCGGCAGAGAGTTCGATCCAATTCGGCGAATTCTTTAAATCAACTAAATAGTGAGTTGTGATATTGAGGCCTGGTTAAAATACACAATATTTATTCACATCCCGAATAGCAGGATTAGGAATGGCGAAAGTTTCCAAAAACTGCACTTCGTCCACGATGCAACGATATAGGACGGGAATCTTCGTAGCTCCTGAACACAAAATATGTTTTATTGATCATTATCGAGTACTTGGACATTTCCAGTTTCCATCGTCTGTGGGTAGTGAAGTTGATGAACCGATTAGTGAAGTCGATTAGGCTATACACTCAGCCGAGTAGAGAGAAATATTGTACGCCTTACCTGCTGAAGGGTTGCAACGGAAGTGCGTTTCCGTCAGTCAGACGAAGGTCATGCATAGTTGCATGGTCAAGCCCAGACAACGATTTCAGACCCGCAGACTCGCCCTGCTCACAGGCCTTGACAAATGACGACTCAGAGCGTTCGGTAGGAAAATTTCAAGCGGAGCTTTGCTTTTTCGAATGATCGATTGGAGACAAAGTTGGCCAGTGGACGTGATACGAGCTGCCTCATGAATCATTGTCATGCAGGCCGGAGAGGCTAGACATAGCAGCGACCGGGAGTCCGGAACGAAGCAAACAATCGCAGAATAGAAGCGAGGGCGCATCATCCTTCAGAAAAACCCCGAAAATATCCCACACATCGGGAAAAACACGCATAAATTATCGAGAAAAAATGCTGTGCAGCTGAATGTAAATTTATTTGACTGCTAAGCGAAATGATCTGACACAAACCGGCAACTGAAACCCTCCAAGTAATGGAAACCATCGCAACTTTTTGACTACCATTTGCTCGAGCTCATTAAACTCTGCACGCGAGGAGTCCGAAGACTGTTAAAAAAATAGCCTTGATGTCGCCGCTGTTTTGCTGGCAAATCAAAGCAATACAAATGTAAACAAAGATAGCGCTCAACTAAATTCTCTTAAATACGAAATTCGACCTCTGAATCAGGCGGAATGAGCTGTGCTTAAAACAGATTTACACACTTCCCATCAGTTCACAATGATTAAATCATTCCGATTGTCTACAGAGAAAAAAAGCATTTCAACATATAGCTATACGTATTTATGTTCTACGTGACAGAAGGAAAAGCAAAGAGGAGCAATACTGAACCTAGAACAGCTGCTTATTTGACAATGCGACATCTCCCAGAATCACGTAAAATTCTGGCTAATGAATCTAAGGGAACAACTTCAAGCGTACCTATTCACCTATGCTTCGAGTAAAATGCAATCCTTCTGAATGCAACAAAAATAGCGAGATCCTCGAAAGGTCATCCGATAAATGTCACGATGTGATGATAATGGCAAAATATTCAGTATACTAAGTACGCGTACGATGCGGAAATGCTGCGACACTAACTGGATAAGGATGCCTCCTTGAGAGGAAAATATCGATATTTAGGACATATCAGCAACAAATAGAAATGTGAACGAAGATTAAATCAGACGTGATCGCCGCAGAAAAATGAAAGCAGAATGAGCTACACGGAGCCGCCTTTGATGCAGGCGTTCTTGCAGAAGATCACGGATGAAATCTTTCAGGGCTTGTCAGCTCTCCAGTTGCTTCCAGCTCTGGATCATAAGATGCGTTGCCCGGCTTACGGCTCAACGGAGTACATCTCCAAGAGTCGGGCCAAGGTGTCGGCGATTCGAGCTGTGTCTTCAAGCAGGGCGCAGTAAGAACGGAGCTCCTTGTCTGAAGTCTGCGGAACAGAACGGCACGCATAAACACAGTGCACTCAAACGGCACACCTTGAGAATTCAATAAGCTCACCTCATCAGGGAGTTTGTTTACGAGACTCTCCAGACCTTCCAGAAGTTGCATCACGGCATGGCCGCTTTGAGGTTCGCGAACCTTTTCAGCAGCCATGCTCACCGGGGACGGCGTCTTGCTCAGCACTTCTGCACCGCGCAAAGGTTCAAGAGGAGCTTTTCAAAATATTTCGAATTCCTCCAGTCGATCGAATCCTGGCATAACAATTCTCGAATGAAAAGAGAGAACGCAAGACCGAAGTAGCACGGATACGTAATCCGCGAAAGAAGCCGAAAACGTAGTGTCTACCCGCAGACAAAGACTTCGGCGCCATGAAAAACGCACGGTATCCCTCGAGACACAGGTTTTCCTTAGTTTCTCGGATCCCCCCCACAGCGTTATTCCCACTCGCTGTTCTGAACCGCGGGGATTTTCAGTCGGAACATTTCGTCTCGCGCGATTGTCGCTTGGAACACGCGATTCTGGTCTGAATGTCTCTTCGGTGCACGCCACGGACTGTAACATGCTGGCACCCCGCGAGCAGTGGCACGAATGATGAATCTGTATGATTCTGCAGAATCTGCAGCAGTACCAGCACTCCCTCGGGGATTTTGGGGGTGAAGCCGGCGACTCGACTGAGCCTCTCCGACGAGGTGGGCCTGAGGACGGGGAGGGCTGGTTGCAGAGCGAGGACTCCGAGCAGCGCTCATGATCCGTCTTGTAACGCGCGGCGGATCAAAGATCTGCTCGCCATTAAATTCTATCCCGGAGCTTGTGAAATCACGGATTCCCCGCGTGACGCCGCATGGCCCCTTTCGTGTGCCCAAGCTTTTGCATGGCCAATTATTCAGCCACGTAGCCTTGGACAATCCGTATCTTTCCCAAGCTTCGGTCAATACGAAAAGTGCGGGTCGCTATTATGCAAAATTGGTCCCGGCTAATCAGCCATAATTTCAGACCCGCATTCTCTCTGCTAGAGACCAGTATCATTCACAAAAGGACACAGAAATAAAAAGAGGTCGAAAGGACGCAGCAAATGAAACCTCTGCTTAGCCAAGATCGATTACAAAAGTCAACTAGACCTCCAGCGCAGAATCAAACTTAGTTTCCGAAGTCTGTAGCGGGGTCAAACTCAAACAACACCGACTGAAAAATGTATTAATTTTAAAGGGATGGAGACGAAAATCAAGCAATAAATCTAAACGTTTTCGAAAAAGATGCTCTGTTTTATTTATTTCTACGTGACTACTGTATGTCGTAATTATATTGTAACGACAAATACGTTTGTTCATTCTAGGCAAGAGGGTGCCCCAGTTCCTCGGACCAATTTTCAAGCGTGAATACTTGATTTCAACGTCTGTAAGAGCTCCAATAATGCTGAATATGGGACTCAAATGAAAGTTCATTCTAATCGCTATTCAATGGTTAAAATGCATGTCATGTCATTATGGCTGGAACTGCCATTCAAAAAAGACTGAACCCTGAAAAACGTTGCCTACTTTACGAAAATGCAAATCGCAACATTTCAAAAGCTATGAATGTTGGATATAGCTTTGAAATCCAATGAGTAATTTTTTCTGCAGTACTGTACTTTCACATTTGTAGATGTTTTATACTGTACCGTATTATGGAAATAATAGTATTTAAAATCATGTATAAAAATAATTTCAAAATGTGGAGGCATTGTTTGTATTCTTCGAAAAAGGTTCCGATAAAAAAACACATCAGAGAACCAACAAGCCACAGATCAGATTCGTGTTAACAATCAATCCCTCACTTAATTTTTATACTTCGACTATCTTCCAGCACAACCGCATTCCACTTTTTATAAATCGAATTCCTAACAATAGAAGAGAAACAGTAATTTCTCGAGAGATTGCCCCTTTCAATGGAACGGGCATTCAAGGAAAAACCGGAGAGAACCAGAGTTCAGTGAATAAGATAATAAGGATGGGAATGAATTTGAACACCGATTTTTGCTCTCGGATTCAGGGTGGTTATTTGCATCCGGACGGTGTAATTTTATGCAGATAATCTATTACCCTCCCCGAAGACCGTCATTCGGTCTTCGGATTGGTTCATCTTTTCACCATATCTCCTGCGGCGTAAGAAAATCTGAAAGGGGAAAGGCTCAAAAGTGTACCAGTATTAAAAGATCGTGACCATGAACCCGATTCCATGGAGGGAATGACTGAGGCGCAAACATAAACACGGACCTGAACTGGCGAACGAGTTTATCAGGATTGACATCCGCCGAACACCCACAGTGCCTCCCCGACAAAAAGTAAGGTTGTAACGCCTGCTTAATCATCGGAACTACCAAAAAAAAAAAAAAGCCAGAGTAAATACCCGCTCTCCCTGTTTTGGCTCTGACGGTGAACATTCGGCCACATGGGACCACCACTGCAGACAATGGTCTCCCTGCTGATTGGTCTGAACTCACTCACTTGGGATGCGACGCCCCAAAATTTCTAGCCGCCGCTCAACATTTCCTGTGGCCTTCTGGCGAGGACTTATGCAACACTTCCAAGATTTCTGAGGACATTCTACGTAAATTCAAATTTGGATTTTATTATTTTGAGGCACATGCTATATATTCAACATTATTATTTCTGACAATTTTCGAAAATTAACCTGTTTCATTCAATTTTCCAAAATTTGATTTTTCACGATGCTTGATCATCCAGTCAGAGACATCCAGTCAATACTCTGAACGCTGTCAAATGTTGCTCACTTATTCTCTGATACACTACCATTAAACTTTTCCCGCAAAAATTAACTATTTTATTTTTATATTTACAGCAGGAATCCTGGAAGAACCTGTTGTTTGTGCTAAATTTTAACTGAGGTCGCTAAGAAGTCCATTACAAACTTGAATACGTGTTTCCGGGCGTTGCCGTCGAGAAGTAGATATTCAGGGGGGGGGGGGAGATTCAATGCACGACAATTTGAGAATTTTTCTTTTAGATAACACGGATTGGTTAGGGTTGCACGCTACGCGAAAATTCGTAAACGAAAATTCGATTTGGCGCGAAGATATCGTTTAGTGTACAACTGTTCATCTTCCACTGAAGTGGGTTTAAAGAGGATTCTAATCGAACCAATGCGCGTCGCGAATATGCCGAGCTCAGGTTCGGAACGTACGGTCTCTTTCGCTTGAATTTGAGGAGGAAAACTTTTTGTCATGTATTTTCGGTATTCTAACAAATGTTTTTTTGTGCATGAACATTTTATAAATTGATGCTTGCAATATTTAATATTGTATTCAGAGCATCGCCAAGTTGTAATTGAGTTCGTACAAAATTCGCTAATTCTCTCGAAGGAACTGCATTAATTCCAGAAAGCATGTTTAGTCCTCGTGCCGGCCTTTCAAATAAAATAAATCATTTTAGAGTACTTATACACGGCCAAATAATTTTTCAGCCCCAATGAAATAAAACCGATTATTATCCGGATGAAGGGAATATCTTTGGTTTCATTTCATGGCTATGTGCGACGATGAGATACCATCGATGCCACGGATATCCTTGAGGCAATGCAAGTGCAAATTTAAAGGTTTGTTACAAATGAATGTCTTCATCAAATTATGCATATAGGCCCTATATCTGCCAGTAAAGGTGGACTCTTTCAACAGAGATCTTATCTATATCAATTTTCTCTATACTGTATAACGATTTTTTTTGTGCCACAAGGATCTCTTCTCATGTTATAGGGGTTCTCTGCAACCAAATTCTCTTGGCAGCGATTTGTTTCTGGTCCCTTGAATTCCACGAATATACTAAAAACAAATGCTGTACTTTATTTTTTTTGTGCGGAGAATATCTTCGGAAAGGAGGCGTTAAAATTTTTCATTGACGAAGAGTTCCCAGGGACTAGAAGAAAAAAAACCTTGCAAAGATAATACCTTCAAGCGAAATCGATGTAGAGAGAAATCCCAAGCTTCCAATGGACTGCACGAAGTAATCACGAAACGAGCTGTACAGTACAGTACTTTACTGTTTTTTATTCGCAGTCTCGACGAATGATTTCGCATCAGCGCTCCCACTGACAGCAAGAGCAACGAAAGTTTCGCGATGCTCTTCATGCAGTGGAGAATCCGTGACAAAAGCTACGCGGTCCCCAAAAACGAGGCCATACGACGTTCGATCGTCCTCGGAATAAAAGCCCGGTCAATCCGCAGTCCGGCTAGGGTGCACCAAAGACGGAACTGGCGTGCCCGCGCGCGGGTTCACCACGTTCCCTAAGCAGCATTTTCGAACGCGGCCCTAGTGCAGGGAGCACAGAACTGACGGAAACCACGATGTGTAAAACAGACTCGCGCGGAGCTCCGTTCCCTTTTTTTCTTTGCCCCTTGGATCGCAGTGAGCTGTTCCTTACCCTGCAGTGTCATGTGTGTGTCGGGTGCGAGATCTCGAGCCGCCAGCGCCGTGTCCGTCGGTGTATTTCATGGCCGCGTATGAATCTTGAGTGGAATCGGTTTTCTCGAGCGAGTGCGTGCACACTTTCAGTCTGGTTTTCTAATGCGGCCCTGAGCGCCGGGATTGATTCCATTCTTGTTGCCAGTGAGTTCTACTCCGATGTATCGTATTTCCCCTCATTTTATTCAGAAGGGGAATGGAGTACAGTATAATATTATCCGCGCGAGGCGCCGACGAAGCTTATTGGAATTCTTCCTGTCCAATTCACCGCTGCCGTTATTCATAATATAACCACGTTCTGGACCTTTTCATACCCCTAGGAAAAAAAGAGGAACAACCTCGCTTGTACTGTCTCGTGAGTCTATTAAAATTGTATCCAACGCATATCTTTTGACGATCAGGTAGCTATTCATTCCCCCGAAACTTCGGTCGTACCGTTGTATGTACAGGGGTAGTCAACGTTTTTCAAGCATGAGAATGCGTAGACCGCGACGTCCACTCAACGAGTGATGATACTGTCGTTGGGTTGGAGAATTTAGCCGCTATCTAAACGTTCCAGCACTGGTTTTTTCTGCATCCGCGACTTACTAACAGGTCACTGTAGAGTGAGCTGTTCGTAAGTTTTACACTAGTCGCACTTTTTTTCTCGCATTCGCGACGCAGCATCAGATTAATCACGAGGGAACATTTTGTGACATGTACTAATCGTTCACGTAAACGTGGAAAGGATCCGTTATTGCGTCCTTTTCCGAGAGTTTTGCGGGCAAAATCTTGGTTCGTGTTTGTAAACACGAAGGTCAGGGCAT